TGGCGGCGGTAAATCATTTATTTTTTATTTAATAATATTGCGAATTTGAATTTCTTTTTAGTATTGGATTCGATCAAACGCTTTTTATGTATACTTTACCGTCGGCAGTATTTTTAGAAATCAACTAATTTTCTTGAATATGATTAGTTGTGACCTACTTTCGTGCGGCCTGGCAACATTGCTTTAATAGAGGTGCTGCTAGACATACGGACGGGAGTGAGTGAATACAGTAGGGTAAATGTGCCGGTATTCGGCCAATAAAAGAATATTTTATAAATATATAGTTTATAGTTTTACTAAGTTAATCTTTATATAGTAACCTATCTAAAACATGTTGAAGATGTAGCAAAACTAATTTATGGAAGCGTAGAAGGGCAACAAAATATATATTTTTTTTACCTAGCACTCGGAAAAATGATTATTCCGACTTAGAAACTCCGAAAAATAGATTATCCCGACTTATAATTTGGAAAAATAGATTATGATCGTTTGTGGTCGACTAGAATAAAAGTTCCGATCAATCAACTTGCGGTTTTGACTTCACCATAGGTATAATTTCTTCAATGTTCGGTTTAACTTTTGTGTTTTAAATATCAGTATTTTTAAAATTCAATGAATTTCTTATGGAGCTTATTTCTGCACTGCGACACGGGTACTGGATGTTGCGATTTCAATAGATTACCATGTAGGTATGTCAACTCTGAAATCACATATTTTTTTCCTATACTGCTATCATTCTCAAAAGTCAAGTAAATTAATTTTTTTAAAACGTCGTCTTATGCGAGAAACATAGAGGATGAGTTCTAAGTCGGAATAATTGATTTTTCCGTGTTCTAAATCGGAATAATAGATTTTCCGTGTTCTAAGTCGGAATAATAGATTTTTCCGTGTTCTAAGTCGGAATAATCGATTTTTCAGAGTCTGAATAATCTATTTTTCCGAGGTCTTAAGTTTGTGTAATCGATTTTTCCGAGTTCTAAGTTTTGTGTAATCGATTTTTCCGAGTTCTAAGTTTGTGTATTCGATTTTTCCGAGTTCTAAGTCTGTGTAATCGATTTTTCTGAGTTCTAATTTGTAATAATCCATTTTTTTCGCGTTCTAATCTGAATAATCTATTTTAACGAATTCTTAAGTCAGAAAAATTATTATTCTGAATTTTAATTCGGAATAATCAATTTTTCCGAGTTATAAATCAGAAAAAAATATATTTTGTGGCCTCTCTACGCTTCCGTACTTATTGACAATACTTTTTAATAGTTAATTTAACGTTAATATAGGGTAGAATTTTGTTTAGAGGAAATTTGTTTTTTCTCAAAAATATTTTAATGACCTATATGCCGTTCTCATACCAAAAATAACAACGAAACCTTGCGAAAAATCAGTTTTTTAGAAAAGTGGGAAAATGACAGGACACCGGGGATCGAATTTCACGATTTTTTAATTTTAATGATTTTTTAATTCGAAAATTTCCTATGGAAAATCGGATCGGACAAAAGTGATTAGGTATATCATAGACTAGAAGTAATATAAAACCAATTAGCATAAAAATTATAGTACGGAAACGCATATTTATTTTATTATTATTTATAAAAAGTTTCTACAAATTGTTTTTTTGTGGGAATTCCTAACTGGAAAAAGAAACTACCTAAAAGGTAACACCGGGCGACACTTAGATAAGGGCCACGTTTTAATATCTCTTTATTTATGTCAAATTTGCGACAAACCTACTAGACATAATTTCTAACAGACACTTATACTTAAACAAAATGGCGAACTTTCGATTTTACCGAAAATGCCATTGTTTGATTTTTAAAACTAGATCACACTGTGTATTTTAAGGCTTTTGGAATCTACGGTTCAAATTATATATCGTCGGTTCCCAGCTAAAATCGCGTATGTGCATTTCATTCATTTTTCAGGACAGCATAAGATCATATGATGTATAGTTATTACATTCATTATTTAAAAAGTTTAATATAGTCATTAGCAACTATTTTACCCTTGAAAACACGAAAGTCATACATTTACACATTCATTGTTTTGGCATGGCACCGACGATATACCAGTTTTGTCAAATTTTTATTTTTATAGGGTGGAATTAGAAAATTATGTTCAAAAGCTATTTTACCAAATACACATATAAAAATAATTTTCTAAAATGTCTTTTTTTTACCAAAATCTCACTTTTCTAAATGGCACCTATTAGATGGCAAATTTTATTACGAATCTAACAATATGCACCGTGCTCCGCTTGGAATGTTATTTTCTAATTATATAGCCTTCCTCCTAAAAAAAAATTGTTTAAAAAAAAATTAGCAACTCTCTTATAAGTAATTTCAACCGTAGATTCCAAAAATTAAAATATACTAGGTGACCCATTTAACATCTCAAAATTAATGGTATTTCCGGTAAAACCGGAAGTCAGCCATTTTGTTTAAGTAAAAAATTCAATTCGAAATTATGTCTAGCAGGTTTTACCCAAATTTGAATGGTGCTTAAATTAAAGATATATATCCGAATCAAGATTCATTATAAATAATAGAAAAGTATCTGACAAAAAACTCATTGCACGGGAGTTGTCTGATTATTTCAGTCCAGTGTATGACAACAATATTCAAAATATTTTAGCTAAACCGAAAATTGGTCTTAGCAATCACCTAATAATAACTTTCTCCTCGTCTTATCTAAAACTGAGGTCTTAGTTTAGTTTTAATAGGTTTCCTACCAAGTGTTCCTGGGACGATCTTTCCGGTTCTAGGCCGAAAAGGATGAAACGTCGCCCAGTCAGAGCTTCGCATTCGAAGATCACATGGTATGAGGTTTCTTCCTCTTCCATGCAAAGTCTACACGTAGTGGGATCATTGTGTAATCCCATTACATGAAGGTGTTTCAGCAAGCAGTGCCCCGTTAGTAATCCCACAATGTTGGATATCTGAGGCCCTTCAGAGTTGTAGTGCCTCAGTAGCCATGCGTGGGTTTGGTCCCCTTAGCATGAGCTTACTGATTCTGTGCCCTCTTATCTGTTGCCAGTGAATTTGGTGTTTTATGGTTATGCACCTGTTCACTGCCTGTCGAGCAGAGGTTTTGCTTATCCCAAATACAGGTTCTGGTCCTGTGAATGGTAGATCTGATCCCTCTTTGGCGAGTTCATCAGCCTTTTCATTTCCTTGGATACCTTTGTGCCCTGGTACCCACGCCAGTTTTACCTTGTTGTGGGTTGCCAGATCATTTAGTATTCCAAGGCAGTTTCAGAGAAGCTTTGACTTCATTCTGTTTGAATCAAGAGCCTTTAAAGCTGCCTGGCTATCTGAGAGAATTAGGATGGTTTGATTTTTGTACTTCTTAAATTCTCTCGTACACACAATTTGATTGCATGTATTTCAGCCTGAAATACAGTGGCATGTTTTCCCAGTGAGACGATGATGTCGCATTTGGGTTTAACTCCATGTACGCCAGAGCCTGTTCCCTAGTTTTAGATCCATCCGTATACCATAAGAGGCCGCTAAGCAAGTATTTATCTAGCTCCTTATTTACCTCGTTCCAGTTACAGTTGACCTGGAAGAGTCTGTTAAAAGTTAGGAGGGGTGTCATGTGATCTGATCCCATATTTAATATAGAATCATTTACTTCATGTGTTATTCTGGTATGTTTTATATGTCCCAGTGGGTTCCAGTTGTTGGAGATTTTCAGTCTGTATGCACTCATTCTGGCCTCCCCCTTTATGACTAGGTCAAGGGGTGGGAGGTTTAGAATGATTTCCATAGAGGCTGTCGGTGTACTTCTCAGTGCTCCTGAAATACAAAGGCATGCCAGCCTCTGTACTCCGGAGAGGGTATTGAGGGCTGTTTTCTGGTTTACTTTTGACCACCCAACCGCCGTTCCATAAGTTATCATGGGTCTTGTTATTGCCAAATATAGCCAGTGGACCATTTTTGGTTTTAATCCCCATGTTTTTCCAAATGCCCGTCTCCCTACAATGAGAGACATTTTACATTTGTTGGTCACTTTTTGTATGTACACTTCAAAAAGTATCGTACAAGAAAATTGGAACATAGACCCTCTATAATCAACCTTGTCTTTTTAAATTGTTAAAATGGTATTTGGATAGCCAATATTTATCGAGTGAAATAAAAATCAACGTTTCAGTAGCAAGTATTAGCCTCCATCAATTAACTTTTCGCGCGGATAATCCTAGTCCTTTTGTTTAACGTACATTCTGAAGACATTTCTAACGGTATTTTTAATGTAGCTAAAACATTCTCCAGATACGCCTATGGTTAATTGATAAAAATTTTATATCAAGATAATTTTTTGACTTTGTTTTTACACCAAAAATAAATTCAATGTATATACTTTAAAGTCTTAAATGCCAGAAAATAACATGTTTCAAAATAATTTGCAGATAGGTTATGCGAATATCTTTGGAGATGTTAATGTAAAAAAACATAATTTATTAAATTGTACAAGATTAGAGTATAAGTTATTGTGACTTCAGAAAATTTTGCAAATTGTCACACGATACACCCATCCTGGGAACTGTATAGTGTACACGCCAGTATTTTTACATTAAAAAAATGAATTGATATATTTTTTTTGGTACATAATATATATCAAGCAGCATAATGAATTAAAAAATGTCATCTATAAATAAAATTACTTGATCCGGAATATTTGTTTTGAAAATATAGAAAAGCAATAAAACATTTTAATGTTTAATTTAAATTTAATTCAGCTTTTTTATAATTGATGTATGAATAAACAACATGGATGTTTACAGTCGTTAAATAATTTTACAACTTTTAATGTGGAATACGAATACGGTTCTGATTAAAAAAATTATTATACCTAATAAAGAGTATTATAAAATAATCAATTTATACTATTGGACAAATATATCAAATCTAGTTTTTTGATGATTTTCTCCTTGAACCAAATATAATTATCATATATATTTAAAATCCAATAGATCTGGAAATTTATATTTTTTTGTTTTGTTACAGCCAATTTCTGAGTGGACTTGTTCAAATGTTATAGAATGGATGGCGGCTCTCAACTTGTACACATATTCCGACGTTTTTAGATGCAAAGATATCAAAGGTGCAGATTTAATCAATCTTGATCGTGATAAATTAATGGTAAGCATAATTAGTATTTGTTTAAAAATAGAATTGGCTTTTTGTCAATATACAGTATGGGACAAATGAAAGGAATACATTCATTATTTCGTAATTAGTTTACTTATGGAAAAATCCTGAAATCAATCCATTTTTATTTTCAAACGCAAAGTAACAATCAACACTTAGAGCAATTACGAACCTGGTTTCCTCGCTGGAAAGCACAAGTCAATACTAATAAGTTTACCCAAGTTACATTTACCACAAAAAGAAGTACACATGTTCTCAAGTTACAATCAATAACGCTCCAATTCCAATCACAGGTAAATACCTCGGGCTCCATCTAGACCAAAAACTGACATGGAGAGAACACATCAGAGAAAACGCAATTAAACATCAAATTAAGACAAATGGATAGGACTTTTAATTTATAAAACCATATTGGTATTTGTACCTATTTGGTAATTGGATAGGGCCTAACTCGAGATATAGATTTTTTTTTTAAATAATTTTCTAAATATCCTACATGGTTTAGTAGATTGTAAATATGCGATTAATGTTAAAATAGCGCCTGTAAACATCTAGTCTATTGTTTTTTACTATTTGTTTTCTACTACCTTCATGTAGGTAGGTCTTTTACATGGCTTTTTTCTCAATTTTGCTTACGTTGGATTGCGTCTGTTCTCGGTTAGGATATTTATTGTTAAATAAAGCACAAACCTCTATATTTCCTTGTTTTGTCTCCACAATCAATCATTATCAGAATTCCAATTATTTTCGTTTCAGTAGGTTTCATTTTGAATACAATACAAGATTGCTATTTTCATATTTGACCAGCCAATTAAGTTCAATTTGAACGTAGTAATCTTTATATAAATCATATTTAAAGAAAAAGTCAAGAAAAAAACGGTATAATATAAAAAATGATCAATAACGTAATCAGAGGAACATCAGACAGAACGTGAGTTTTAAAATTAAAATGTCAAGGTTTTAGGACTTTTTCAGGAGCCAACAAGTTACGAAGTAATAAATGTATTCCTTGTATAGTTTCGTTTCTAGTTTAGATTTTGCATCGGCCAAGCACTTGAAGGTTTTTAAAGATGAACCTCTGTTTTCTAGGCTATGGGTATAAAGGATGAATTTCACCAAAAGGCTATCCTGACATGCATAGATGAGCTTCTAAATAAACCGGAAGACACCCTCTCCTTAAGAAATGAACAAGAAGAAACCGTAATTTCGGGCACAAATTACACGCATAATTTAACGCAACATAGCTTTAGCACCTTGGAGAGATGTGATAAATGTAATAAGTATCTTAGAGGTTTGCTCCATCAAGGGTTTATTTGCCAAGACTGTGGGCTGGTCGCCCATCGTTCTTGCGCTGCAACTGAACTTCCGTCGTGCACACACCGTCCAATGGATGAGAGATCGCACTTTATCCAGTTTAAGTCTTTTTTTGGCCAAGGTCTCTGCTGTCATTTCAAATTGACCGAAACTCCTGCTCCCGAGCTTATCATCAACTGCGCTTTGGAGCTAGAAAAGCGCGCCAAAAGCAACGAGTCCCTAGAATTGTATAACCTTTACTGTGCTACTCCTCCATCAGATCAACTGCAGTCCCTCATTAAGAAAATAGAAGAAAATCCGAATAACATTAACCTATCGGAGTTCAGTCCGGTGTGCATCGCTAGCGTGTTCAAGAAATATTTAAGGGAATTACCGGATCCTCTGATTCCTGTCCAGTGGTACGACAAGTTTCTGGAAGCTTCGAAGAAGAGGAATGACGAAGAGTGTTCCTTGATATTGAGACAGCTGGTGGAAGATTTGCCTGAACATCACAAGTCAACTCTGAGGTTTATTATGGGCCATCTTTGTAGAATATGTCAATTAGAATACGCTAGGGGTAACAAGAGCCCGCCTACTGTCCTGGTGCAAGTCATGTGTCATATCTTCCTACGGCCACCTTGGGAACGTATAATGTAAGTGCTGAAGTGTTAAAACACTTTTTATCTCATCTTCATTCTATTTTAGTATGCAACTTATTCCTTCTATTAAATTGTCACAAGAATAAAAATATGTAACCAAAAGGATATATCTCCTTCAATCGCTTTGTGGTTGGTGCCGACAACCTGTGATCTGGTTTTTTAGTTATTTCTTGTACTCCATAGACGTACCGAGCACAGATTTTCGAATTAGGATAATAATCCGTTTTATTATTCAGAGGACATCATGCTAGTATTAACTAGAAATTGGTATTTATCTTTTCAGGTAGACTTATATTCATTGAGATTAGCTGTGTTACTCGAAATTATTTTATTAAACTAATTGTGTTTAAACTTATTTAGATACTGCACGTACAGCATGAATAATAGTTTAGTGGCACAGTTTAGAATGAGATAAGTTTCATTTCAGTTAATTTTTATTATTCAATATTAAAAATGATTTACATTTACCTAATTGGAAAAGTAGTAATTACTTTTTAATGCCCAAAATTTGAAAAAGAAACATACGATTTGTAATTATATTATTATACTTTTCACACAGTAGTCTGTGAAGAGTATTATGCATTTGGTTCTGTCCGACCGATAAGTCTAAAACGAAAAACGATATTAATTTGAAAATTTCAGGAAAATCAAGCTCTATAAGGACATAACGCCTAATGATTTTGAAAATATCTGAATAAATTTGGGTGTTAAGGGGGGGTTAACATATTAAAAAACTCCTAACTAAAAATCAAGCTCTATAAGGGGAAAAAGCCCTTTAATTTTGAAAAAAAAAAATTGAATAAAAATGAGGGAATAAGGGGGGTTGAAATATTGAAAAAAATCCTAACTCAAAAACTAAAAATGCTATCAAATTGAAATTTTTAGGAAATATCAAGCTTTATAAGGGGATGAATAAAAATGGGGGATTAAGGGGAGTTGAAATATTTAAAAAAATCCTAGCTCTAAAACAAAAAATAATATCAACTTGAAATTTTTAGCAAAATCAAGTTCTATAAAGGGACAAAGCCTATTAATTTAAAAACAAAAATTGTGAACAAAGTGGGGAGTTAAGAGGGGGTAAAAATAAAAATAAATAAAAATCAAAACATCAAAAGCTCTATAAGGAAATGATACTTATTGATTCTAAGAAAAATCTGAATAAAAATGGGATGATAAGGGTGGGTTGAAATATTGAATAAAATGCTAACTCAGAAACAAAAAACGATATAAAATTGAAATCTTTAGTAAAAATTAAGCCTATTGATTATGATTGAAAAGGAGGGTTTGTTAAACTGTGAAAAGTATAATATAGAATGCCAAGCATTTATATATCTTTATTCTAGTTTTAAATTATTGATGGTTAACTAATCACTGTGATACAATAAATGTAATGCATATTAACCTCTACCTAAAATTGTTAATATTCATAGAATAACACCCTTCAACTCAATAACGTGGCTAATAGTATTTTAAATACAATTGAAAATGATAATGGGTAACTCAAAAATTTAAATAACAAAACTCCATTATTTTAATTTTTGTGGGAAATGAGGCATTGGAGAATCTATTTGCAGCACTTTTAATTTTTGCACTATACCTACACTCACCGGCAGAATTAACCGCCCACCCAATTATTTTTATTTATTTCTTAAATTTTTGGAGATTTTCGTCACTTTTTCAAAAACTGTTTTTCTTTTATTTTCTAAAATTATTGTTCAAGTATTTGTTTTCCAATTTTTTTGGAGCCATATCATAGATAATACACCATTCACTACATATAGTTACTGAGATAACTGGAGATGTAACTACAAATATCGTTCTGTAGTGAATAAGGGGCGCAAGAGGGTATAATAAACGCTGTTGTCATGTCCATTTCATTATTCTCGTTTTGTTTACAAAATTATTTACATATCTTAAAAAAAGCTAAAATAATTCAACCTATTTTATTGCAACTGAATCCAAAAAATTTTGAATCATTAGTTATATCAAATTTACCTAAATTATATGTAATTTCGCTAAATTAAATGTAATAATTTTATTATAAGCGCACAAGCGTTTACACATATTATATTAATTGATAAAAAAAGTTTGTATTGCTGTAAAATCCTTCTGTTTATCACCTCTCTTACCTCTCACTACACGTATCTTTACTTCGGACCTATAACTGGAGCGTATTGACTGTTGAATTGATGTTGGCAACATGAATATTATATTTTATTAATAAATAGTTACATCTCCTGTGTTATCTCTGTATCAAGATCGGTCACTTGGGTGTCCCAAACTTTTGTTAGTTTACCTCTACCTTTCATTCTCTTAAGGAAATCTTTAAAATATATTCGAACTACTATCACATTTATTCACACCACTATTAACAGAACCAATAGCATAATAACATTATAAATTACGCATTCGATACCTTCTACCGTGTAAGTCGCTACTGCGCTAAAAGTTTCTGTTAAGAATTTCGGTTTAGAAGCGTTAAAAGCCCTCGGCGATCACGTGCTCGGAAATATCCTTTTGGTTAGATATTTATTCTTGTGCACTCAGTGCGTATCCTCCTGAAGAATTAAAAATGCGTTTATACTTTCACTTTTTAAAAAATGCATTTTTAGGTCTATTTGATAAAGAAAACACGTTTATTTCATGAAATATTTAGCTTAAAAGTCTGAATAAAATAGTTGATAAAAGAATAACTAGTGGATAATTTAAAAATTATCTAAAACAAATACATAAAACGATTTGGTCGAAGGGGGAAGTATGACTGATCAAATTTTACCTGGACTAGATAGGAAAAATTGTTTACAACTTTTCCTTTGACATTTACTATACAAATTTGTATATTATTCATGAAATATATGTAGACACGTTCTAAGTTTTGCATTTCTATTTTAAACCATACATCTGAATAACAATTCGCTACTTTGTATCTTATTGTACTTCATGGAACGTTCTGTAAGACTGTTTTTGCTGTAGTGTCAGAGCCAGAAATAAAGCAACTCTAGATTTATACCCAATTTTTTACTGTTCTAATGCATGATATATTTCAAGAAATATCCACGAGCTGCTACGTAAAAGGAGAAGATGGAAAAAGTTGCATACTGTAAAATTAAATATATGAAATTGTTTTAATTTATGACAAGTTTAAAAATAGTAAAAATTGATAATACACTGTGTCCCAAATTCGAATATCTATTGATATTTCACTTAATATAAGAGATAGAAGGTCGGTTAAGTGGAGAATTTGATGGTGATTTCGAATTAATTTTCAAAATTATTAAAAGTCTCATAACTTAATAACTTATTTAAAAAAAAACTGAAAACGTCCGATTTTTTTTTTAGTCTGCTTAACAATTAATTTGACATAAATATTTTAAAGTTACATTATTGAGACACTTTTTAATAAAGAATATTTTTGTGAAAGTTTTTTAGTTTTTCTACCATTATTTTGTCGTTTCTTATGGCGCCCATTTTGGATTTTGCTTAATTTTATTACCTTTTAAATGATGTACCACATGCCAAAAATTAACATATTCGTTAATTTGACAACACCACATTCAACGAGACTCTAAATTGGTACACAATGTATATCAAACTATAAATCTAGGTAGCACTAAAAAATGCCATTTTCAAAAGTTTTTCCAACATATTCGTATAACTATTTTATTATTAATTGAAATTATATTTTTATCGTTTTTATAGTATCCATTAAAAATTAGCTATTCGTGAAGGTTTTTCCAACATATTTGTAATAAAAGAGAATGTTTGTTCGTGTTTCTTAAATAATTTTGAAAATATTATGACAGGAAATTTTCAAAATAATTAAAGCCATCTACGGTAAGTTCTATAGAAGATTAACTTCAAATGATTATAAATTATTTTTCTAATAATAAAAATTGTAGATGTTCTAATGAGACAATGACAACAAACGTGTATTAACCCTGATAGGAGTTATAATATAAATCTTAAAACTAGATTTTTGAATATTGTTTTTCTCATTTTTTATTTTGTATTTTAATTATTAATTCACATTCACTTCAAATCCTTGAAAGATCAAACCACTGTTTTTAGAATATAAACTTGATAAACATATGAACTTATTGGTAATCGTTTAATGAGCTGGTTCGTTTCAGTATTTGTTATTTGCAATTTTATAGCGACATTAAAATATTACGCTGTAACTGTAACGCCCGAGTTCCGTATTAAGCTGCTTTTACTGTCTACAAGGAATTGTGATTTTTTAATACTCTTTTCTCCTTATATAGTTCAAATGAACGAATTATCGTTCCTGTCGTAAATAAGCACTACCAAAGAGATTATTTTGCATACAAAATTAATTAAATGTAGATATTAATCGTTGGAAACATACTTCAAAAGTTTTGTTTATGAAATATTTCTTATTTTGGACATTTCTTAGTTACGAAGACGTAGAAGGGCTTCGGAATATATATATTTTTTAATTTTAAATTTAAAGTTGAAATTTTTTATTTTAAACTACTTCGATCTTAAACTTAGAATTTCGACTTTAAGCTTGGAATTTCGACTTTAAACTTGGAATTTCGACTTTAAACTTGGAATTTCGACTTTAAACTTAGAATTTCGACTTTAAACTTAGAATTTCGACTTTAAACTTAGTATTTTGACTTTAAACTTAAAATTTCCACTTTAAACTTAGAATTTCCACATTATTCTCGAAATTTGAACTTTAAACTCGAAATTGCAACTTAAATTTTGAAATTTTTAATTTTGGCACGAAGAATATATTTTTATATCGTCCAAAGTATATGAAAGCTTTTTAGAACAAATCTAGTAGTATGACTAGTAGCTAAAATTAAATCTAAGTAAGTTTTGTCAACTTTGCATTTCCTTATGCTCTGAAAAGCTTCCATATACTTCGAGATTAAAGTCGAGATTAAATTCTAAATTCAGAGTTTAAAGTCGTTTTTTCGAAATTAAAGTCGAAATTCCGAGTTAAAAGTCAAAATTTCTAAATTAAAGTTGAAATATCGAAATTACAGTAGAAATTTAGATTTAATTTTAACAAATATATTAAGTAGCCCGTTCACGCCTCCATGGTAAACTTTCGCATTTTTTGTTTTTAGCCTGAAGATTGCAAATATTATACCAATATTAAAAACAGGTAAAAACCCCAAAAATATAGAAAGCTATCGACCCATCTCGTTGCTAAACACAATATCAAAAATTACTGACTCAATTATTTTACACAGACTAAAAAACATCGAACAACGACTAAAACTTATCCCGCAGGAACAGTACGGGTTCCGAAGGGGACATAGTACCGTTGCACAAATACTAAGAATAGCTCATTATGCCAAAGAGGCCACTAACATCAATAAACAAACGGTACTTGTCGCACTTGACTGCGAAAAGGCCTTCGATTCTGTCTGGACCTGCGGGCTAATCCACAAAATGCTTGTGAATGATTTTCCCGTACATATTGTAAAGACAATTCACTCTTACATAACGGACAGACAATTCAACGTAAAGATCAACAACACAACGACAGGACCATACATCGCGCAGGCGGGAGTGCCCCAGGGCTCAGTACTTTCGCCGCATTTGTACACCATTATGACCCATGACATGCCAATGGGTAATAATGGGGTACAAACGGCACTGTACGCCGACGATATTTGTCTGTACAAAAGCAACCATTCAGCAGAAAGTGCCCTCAGGACACTGGACATCCATATAAACAGGAAGTTAGTCCCCTATTTAATTAAAAACAAAATTAAAATCAACCCCCAAAAATCCGAGAGCATGCTCATCACTAAGCGAAGGTCAAGGGGAGTTCATATACCGCTCAATATTCAGGGACAACAGGTAGACACTAGGAATAGCATGAAGTATCTCGGTTTTCAATTAGATAGGGGACTGACATTCGATCGGCACATCAAAGACAGGGTGGCTAAAAGTCATATAGCGATAAAAACTCTTTATCCTCTATTAAACAGGAGGAGCAAAGTCACCCTGGATAATAAACTTTTAATTTTCAAATCCATCTTAAGACCGATATTAACATATGGATGTCCGGTCTACTGCTCGATGGCCAATTGTCACTATAACAAACTGCAAATTGCACAGAACAGATGTCTTCGGCTAGCACTGGGCTACGACCGCTATGCAAGAATTGAAGACATGCACGTACAAACAGAGACTCCACGAATCAAGGACTATGTACTAAAAACAGCCGAAAATTTCTACATGCGGTGTCTCCCCGATAATGTGAAAGATGACATCTTTAGCATCTATCGCGGGGACGGCGTACGTAGAAAACACGGCTGTTTACACGCGAAACTGGACATATACAGACACAGAAACATACAATAATAATAATAATAACAAAATACAATAACATTCCTCCTTAACGATCCCAGACAAAAGACAAACTAAACAACAGCTCGCACCGACTAGATACTCGCGCAAACTAGTCGGACGGTGGATTGAACGGTAGACTGGCCATCGAAGCAACAAGCGTGAAATCCGCGATTGTTGCCTCGATGGACGGTGTATCGAGCACTCTGCCTGTGAGGTGTATTACTGAACAATAGACTAAACAAACAACTATACACACAAGGACAACCCTGTTTTTTCTAGCTTTTTCAGGGGACAAAAACCATAACTCAAACGCGACATATCCTTTTACAAATTCCCATTACCGATTCCAAAACAATCCTAATCCCTCAATAATATCGCATGGTAAGGAGTGAGGGCTGCAATATTTGATCATTTTTTATCAGAATAGGGGTAGATATAGGTGGACAAGTCCGGTCGGACTCTAGACCAGCACGAAAGGAGAAGATCCCGGTAGTGTTGATTATACTATTTCATATTCTGAATCTGTAGATATTTTAACTATGTAAATAAAATCCTTGTTACTGTTACTGTTTTTAGCAAATAATGTTTGGTGGTTATAATGGCTTTTTAAATTTTTTTCATTATATATCAGACAAATTGGCTTATAAATAACAAACAAATATTCTTTTACATTATTTATTGTGTGGAATTCCAGTTTAGTACAAGTTGAAAATCAAAGAAAAAACTTGCAAAACTCGAGTATAAAATATATAATTTTTTTTTTAAATTTTATCTTTAAAACCAAATAATCTCGTAAACCTGAGACATCGAATCATTTGTGTGTGTCAAAGATAAGATAGCCATCTTGAATGTGTTGGAAATACTTGTATAAATTAGCAACTAGATAAGAAAATGTTTCATTCAGTTGGTGATAGAAAGTTTATTTTCCCTTTCAGACAAGTCGTCTACAACACTCAAGCGCATAATAGGATTGTGGAATTGCTGCTGCTCTACTGCGATTGGGGAGAAAAATTGCCAGAGTTCGCGTCAGCGCCAGCCATACCGCCGAGGAAAGTATCACGCATGGGTAGCAGCGTGTATTACAGTATACATGACCGAGAAAAGGACAAAAGCATTTCAGTGATGAGCCTTCAAGACGCCGAGTGGTATTGGGGCGACATAAAGCGCGAGGAAGTCAACGAAGTACTAAACGACACCGTGGATGGAACTTTCCTTGTGAGGGATGCTTCAAGCAAATGCGGCGAATACACCTTAACGCTCAGAAAAGGCGGCGCTAACAAACTAATAAAAATATGTCATCGTAACGGCATGTACGGCTTCACGGAACCATACACGTTCTCTTCAGTCATCGACCTCATCAACCACTTCCGCAACGATTCACTCTCTCAATATAACGCTTCATTAGATATAAAACTGCTCTATCCCGTTTCGAGAAACAACCAGGAAGAGGAGCTCGCCAAGACTGAAAAAATAGAAAAGCTCGTCGAAAAGCTTGTGATCGTCAACAAGAATTTGGCCGAAAAGAATAAAGTGTCTGAAACGGTTTCAAAAGACTTTAACGAAACGTCATCCGAAGTACAAACGAAAAGGCACGCCCTCGATGCGCTTAAAGAATTAGTACAAGTATTTAGAGATCAAACCACAATCCAAGAGAAATTCCAAAGCGAAGCGCAACCACACGAAATCAAAAGCTTAGAAATTAATTCGGAATTGCTGAAGAAACGCTTAGATTTAATGTCGGAGAGTTGCGAGCAACTCGAAGAAATTTTGAAACAAAAAGAAGCATATAAGAAAGTATTAGAACGAGAATTGACAAGCCTGAAACCTCAAATTCATAATTTAGTTAGAGAGCGGGATAAGCACATCAGATGGCTCCAACAGAGGGACTTTTCCGTCGCCAAAATCAATCAAATCCTCAATCGAAACATTGAAGAAACGTCTGAGGAGTGCGAAGTGGACACGGATACGTTGCCTCACAACGACGAGCACACTTGGTTAATGTTGAATTGTTCGCGAACGGACGCAGAAAGGTTGTTAGAAGGTAAACCGGACGGAACGTTCTTGGTCAGGAAATCTAGACAGATGAATAAATACGCGCTGTCGGTGGTGTGCAATGGCAGCACGAATCACTGCATCATCAACGAGACGAACAAAGGTCTCGGATTTACGGAGCCCTACAATATCTACCCCACTTTGAAGGATTTGGTACTGCACTATGCCACGAATTCGTTGGAGATTCACAACGACTTGCTTAACACCGTTCTGGCCTATCCAATTTGGGCGTGTAGCGTGAACTATGAGACGGAGAATTGTATTTATGTTTCTTAATGAGAGTTTTGTGATAATTATAAAGCTGCTGTGACTTTTTTATTCCCATATTAAAATATTGTGATGGTGATAATTATGAAGAAAAAAAATAAACGATTTTAACAAATTTTTATTCAACTATGTATTATATATTATATATACATAAATTTATATTTACATGACTGGTTTACGATTGAATGAACTGTTTTGCTTCAACACCAGGTTAAAATGACTGTGATAGTGTACTAAAGATGAGTTTCACATGTACTTAGAGTTTTGGTGGTATATATTGAAAGGCGTTGAAAAAGTGTCTGCCAAAGCAACAAAATTGTGGAATGCTTATTAATATTCCAGTGACCATTGAGACCTTCAGCGACAGCTTGGCAACAATGTAGAAGTTCATTTTCTACCCATTTTTAGTACCATATAATCATTTTCTGCATTTTTAATGTCCATTTACGTACTCAAATAAATTTTTTGGTCTATTTCAAAGAACACTCGATTTTACAACCAAAAGGTTTCATTTTAAATTATTAGTAATATATTGCGTGTTCTCTTTGAATATATTTCCCAAAATTTTGTATTTATTCCTTTTTGTACAAAAATAAACGAATTACACCAATTTCAATCAACACATCGTTACTTTCCACCACGCAGAAGCATCTAGTGATATAGGAGATTGAAGTTAAGTAGAAAAAGTTTCCAATTTTGTATACAAATTTGATATTTATTTTTTGTTTAACAAAATATAATTGCCTTTATCATATTGATACCTTTTTACCAGACTATTGTAAGTGCCATTTAAACAAATGTCGCTTACGTTAGTCTGGTGAAAAGATATCGATATTTAAGTTATGTATCATTCCAGTAGAACTTTCATCAGTTTATATATTTTTTCTAATTTTGACATAAAGTGACATTTTTTGTAATCCCAGCAAGTGTGAAAATGATCTCTTGTATGTAACTAGTTACATAAAGTTGAATATTATGTAACTGGTTATGAAAAATTCATTATATATCACTCTTGCGAATAGAAAACAAATAAAAATTAACATTTTTGTTTTAAAAACTATATACATTATTATTGAAAGTTTATATCGAAGGTAGGAAGGTGGGGGCTATATAAAAATAAATTTCTATTTTTCTAAATATGCCAATGAAATGATGAAGTCACATGCAACTAACAATGCACGAAAGTTCAAACACAATTTTATAAATAATCTTGTCAAAATTAGAATTTTTTTGTATGTAATACGTTATCAAATGACGTTTTGTGTAACTTGTTCATTTTGTGGGACCTCGCCTTGATCGTCCCTCAAAGATTCACTCGTTGCATAAAATAAGGAATTTTGTAATTGGTTACATAAATTGCTATTGTTATTTTTTTACTATAATAAAACAGCAAAAATTACACAAATTTAAGCTGATGTAGGAACTAAACAGCGAAACGTTTCTATATTTAAAACCTTTTAAGAAAATCAATTTTTATACATGTGTTATCTAGCCGAGGGGTAAGACACTTGCATCAATTTGTACACCTAATCATAATTACATTAGTTTTTGAAAGTAATTAATATAATTAATGAAAAATAATAGTCCATTATAATTGAAAGTAATTTATTGTAATTGAATGTTTAGTTGTAGTTTAAAATAATTAACCATAATTTAAAGGCAATATTTCTAAAGAATAAACGTTTACGTTTTTTAGTAATAATCATATCTAAAAAAGTGAATTCTTTCTGAAAATAATTTCCATGATTCCTTGATTTCCTAATTTTAACTGAATTGGGTTGATAATTATTATGATCTGACTTGTTACTTTATTAAGTTTTATTTATAAATACTTTTGTGGAAAGATGGGCCTTGCTTTACCTGTTACATACGATTTTTCGACAATTTCACGGGGAGTTTCATTTTCTGTCAGAGGACGACGGTTCAGAATATTCCTCTGATATTTCTCAGGAAGGCTCAGAAGAACTTTTTTATCTTTTCTAATTTTCTTAAAGAAATCACTATTTTTAACCATTGATTTTTTTCATTGTCTAATATTTTCAAACACTGTTTTTAATATATAACTAACTTTCAATATGCTCTGATTATTATTAGTAAATGGTATATGCCTGAGCACATACAATAAGTGTGCAAATACAAATTACCCCACCAAAAATTTGTTGTAATTGAATATAATCATTCAGTTGGATTTTCACAACTTGTACACATAATTGATGAGTGTCAACCCCCTCGCATCTAGCAAATTAATATATCCCAATGACGATGTTAACTTGGTTAGTGAAACATGTGTAATAAAAAATATGGTTGATAACTGGTTAAACTTTGTTTTTTTTTATAATAATCTTGTTTTATTTGCCTAAGAAATACGACTTGGATTTGTGGATAAAATTGGTTGAAAAACTCATCTCAGTGATTAATGCTTTCAATAAATATATATTTTAATGGAAATTGGTGTGATTCAGTTTGTTTTGAAATTAATAAATTTTATATTGAAACTTCTTTGCAGAAAATTAAGAAAATACGAGTAAAGTCACTTAACGATTACTTTCTACAATATATAATTTATCATATTTTACATATATATATTTTCTCTATTTAATTCTATTTGATATGATTGCGATGTTTATTTATTGTTATATACTTAAAAATGTTTTATGAAAGTGTTAAGTGACTTCACTGGATTATTATGATTTTTAAAATAGATTTATACTTGAGTAACAAATCGAGTTACTAAAGGATAATGAGAGGAAATTGTAGAATTTCCTTTCAAAAATCAGTATTTATGTAATTTAATATTTTACTAGACCAACAGTACTTTAGTTAAAAAATGTCCATGCTGTTAATTGTTGAAGCTGAAGTCTCGTTACTTCTAGTGATCTGTACTAATAATCAAGTCAATATGAATATATAGAAGAGGTTTTTACTACAGCTGGATTACCGGAAATATTAAAAATGTTTTTTAAATATAAAAAATCTTTGGACAATTAAATCTTCCAAGAATTTATAAAAAAATGGTAATCAAACTAGGTAAAGACTTCGATTTATGTATGCAGTGATAATACACTGCAGAATATTTACCTGGTATTTTATTTGTTTATGTTTTACAAAAAAAAAAAGCATTCTAGATAGAATACGCCCTTTTATATATATAAATGTATGTATACAAATTCTCCGTTCCTATCAAGGAATAAAATTAGAAAAAACATTAGACATCTCAAATTATATATTTTTTTTAGAATCATTTATTAATTTATTATCCTTTGCCAAAATTCCAACCGATCAGATGGAATCGGCCGAATTTAATTCCCCATTTCAAATAAATTAATTTTATTTTTTTTTTATTTAGTTGCAAAATAATGTTTGATTTGATAAATTGTGCCATATTTAATTTTATTTCGAATTATATTTTATTTTGTTTGATTGGGGTTCAAAATAGCCTTTTGGATGGTTCCTATTTGTAGTATCAATTAATCTTGTTAAATTACATTAATATGAATGTAAAATTACAATTAAAGGGACATCGTTTACATTATTTCGGTATTTTCTTTTAGACAATATCGGCCATGTATGTTTTTCTTTTCCATTTTGCTCTGTTTCACGTCTTCCTTACGCTACCTCTCATACTTCCACCCTCAACCTGCAACGATCTAAGATCTCATCTATTCACCTATAAGCGCAACCTCTAAAACATTAATTTCTAATTTTATTTCATCTTTTTACTCACTAATAGTAATTTTACATTTAATATAATGTAACAAATATTGTGTGCATTAAATTATCAGAATATTTAATGCTAATAAATGACTAAAATAATTGAACTACTAATTGGGTCCATCATGATAACTTTTGAAAATGTGCCGAAATGTTTGAATGAGAAAACTTATTATCAACTTCTTTGAAAATGTATAATACAACAAAAACCTATATTTTTGATTTTTTTATACATATATATTTTCAACATTTGATTGTATTGAGAAATTGATAATCCGTTTTTATACATTTGGCCGTTTTAGTGAAAAAATATTTGCATTTGTTTAGATAAACTTAAAAAATGCACATTTGTTTTTTTTTATAAAATTATATAAAATGTGCAAAATAGTTTGTTTTATTCTATTCAAAATAGAGCCGAGATGTGAACCCATAAATTATTAATAGACATATGATGTGCAATTTTATTTGCAGTTTAAATCCCCTCTTATCAGGATCTGTAACTGATATATATATATATATAGCAGTACAAAATATTATCAAAAGTATTTTATTTTAGAAATTATACGATTACTCGATTTTACCACATATCTAGAATGTTTTTTACAATTTTTAATGCCTCTATAATCGATGTATAATATATTGGAATTTTAAAAGAGCAATTTTTGAAATAACCGATGATTCAACAGTTCTTATTTTTCGCTAGAATTCTTTTTAAATGTCATCTCTATCAACTGAAAGTCTAAGCATTTATTCTGATGTTTTAATCAGTAGTTTTTTGTAGTGTCATGGCCTAAATTTCACAAAAATTGTAATAATCAATGGATACTTAAATAATATTTCTTTCATAAAGAATTTTCGTTCATTGGTGTCCATAAGTAGTAAGTTATTTTTAATTTTAAAAAAATATTTACTATTCTCTGTTGACATATTCCAATAATGGTTTCAAACTAAGACACTCGGCAACAGTGTTATTTGGTTTCTATATTTGTGGCTATTGCAATTCTGAAATGGCTTGCTTCATCAATAATTTACTAATAAAACAACACCACACATTTTTTGTAAAAGTACAATCATTTAATCCATATATCGACCAAAATAAAACTAACATTATTATAGAACTGTACACATTTTCACTGTTGGATAAATTTAATCATCTCTAATGTTTTAGTTGTTAATGAAACACGTGTGGATTTATTTAATGATGTACCAACAATATATTGTTCCTAAAAGTGATTGCACTCTAATATATTGTATGAAAGATGGTGTAAGTCAATTAAATGTTAAAAATATTTGCGCAATATGCCACATACAAGAAAAAATCTCTGATATGTTTATTGAAATTATTGATAGGCCTAGATAACTTTTTGTCCATTCATGTACCATTTCGATTGTTTAAATGTTGATTACACTAACATGCATAAATTAGAGTTAAAACTTTTAAATCTTTTTACTGGAGAAAACTGCATTTTGATATTTAATATGAGAATTTGTACCATCGTCACTGTAAAATTTTAATTGGATTTACATGCGATGTGAATTAATATCAAAATGGCGCATTTAGTTTTCCGAAACAATGAAGTACTGTTTGCATGAGAGATTGTATGTATCTTGTATGGTAATTTGTATGTATGCTATGAATTTTTTTATTAGAGGTTTCATTATATAGTATTTTTTAAATTTGTAATAAACTGTTCTTATACTGTTGAATGTCATCTCAAATAAATTATAAAATATTCAATCGTGTTTTATTCAAAAAAACTTCGTGAAAACGGATTCTTATGGCACATAGTGGAGCACCAAGATTAGAGACAAGATTCTACTTTGGTACTAGTATCTCTGTATCGAAATAACGGAGGAGCGACGAGGTATGGCAATTATTTTGCGTTACTATAAATTATACAATAACTCGATTAAGGTATCTAATTTTCCCGCCCTTTTAAAATACCTCCTCGCTCTTCTGTTATCCCGATACCAAATTTTATCAATCGAACAGTGGACAGTATGTGCTCTAAAACGGTAAGAAAAAACGTCCGTTTCTCGCTAACCTAAATGGTCAAAAAGTAGAGGCTTGTTTTGTGATAATTAGCAAACTTAGAGAAATGCAACTACCTTTTTTCAAACGTACTTGTCTTTTATTTACTGCATACAACGTTTCGTCCAAATCGGAGCAACTTTTTCCAACTTTTGAACGAAGAGAGATATTGAGCAACAGACACCACTCCGACATTACGTTTTTCATTCTGATTCTCTGTACCAAATTTAAGCGAAATCGAAGACGAAAAAATTTTAATGCAAAAATTTTTGAAGTCTACCCTTTCGATTTTTCTCGAAAAATTCATGGTCTCCGATTGAGCTGAAAATCGGACAGTGGACAGTATGCGCTCTAAAACGTTAAGAAAAAACGTCCGTTTCTCGCTAACCGAAATGGTCAAAAAATAGAGGCTTGTTTTGTGATAATTAGCAAACTTAGAGAAATGCAACTACCTTTTTTCAAAGGTACTTGTCTTTTATTTACTGCATACAACGTTTCGTCCAAATCGGAGCAACTTTTTCCAACTTTTGAACGAAGAGAGATATTGAGCAACAGACACCACTCCGACATTACGTTTTTCATTCTGATTCTCTGTACCAAATTTAAGCGAAATCGAAGACGAAAAAATTTTAATGCAAAAATTTTTGAAGTCTATACCCTTTCGATTTTTCTCGAAAAATTCATGGTCTCCGATTGAGCTGAAAATCGGACAGTGGACAGTATGCACTCTAAAACGTTAAGAAAAAACGTCCGTTTCTCGCTAACCGAAATGGTCAAAAAATAGAGGCTTGTTTTGTGATAATTAGCAAACTTAGAGAAATGCAACTACCTTTTTTCAAAGGTACTTGTCTTTTATTTACTGCATACAACGTTTCGTCCAAATCGGAGCAACTTTTTCCAACTTTTGAACGAAGAGAGATATTGAGCAACAGACACCACTCCGACATTACGTTTTTCATTCTGATTCTCTGTACCAAATTTAAGCGAAATCGAAGACGAAAAAATTTTAATGCAAAAATTTTTGAAGTCTATACCCTTTCGATTTTTCTCGAAAAATTCATGGTCTCCGATTGAGCTGAAAATCGGACAGTGGACAGTATGCACTCTAAAACGTTAAGAAAAAACGTCCGTTTCTCGCTAACCGAAATGGTCAAAAAATAGAGGCTTGTTTTGTGATAATTAGCAAACTTAGAGAAATGCAACTACCTTTTTTCAAAGGTACTTGTCTTTTATTTACTGCATACAACGTTTCGTCCAAATCGGAGCAACTTTTTCCAACTTTTGAACGAAGAGAGATATTGAGCAACAGACACCACTCCGACATTACGTTTTTCATTCTGATTCTCTGTACCAAATTTAAGCGAAATCGAAGACGAAAAAATTTTAATGCAAAAATTTTTGAAGTCTATACCCTTTCGATTTTTCTCGAAAAATTCATGGTCTCCGATTGAGCTGAAAATCGGACAGTGGACAGTATGCGCTCTAAAACGTTAAGAAAAAACGTCCGTTTCTCGCTAACCGAAATGGTCAAAAAATAGAGGCTTGTTTTGTGATAATTAGCAAACTTAGAGAAATGCAACTACCTTTTTTCAAACGTACTTGTCTTTTATTTATTGCATACAACGTTTCGTCCAAATCGGAGCAACTTTTTCCAACTTTTGAACGAAGAGAGATATTGAGCAACAGACACCACTCCGACATTACGTTTTTCATTCTGATTCTCTGTACCAAATTTAAGCGAAATCGAAGACGAAAAAATTTTAATGCAAAAATTTTTGAAGTCTATACCCTTTCGATTTTTCTCGAAAAATTCATGGTCTCCGATTGAGCTGAAAATCGGACAGTGGACAGTATGCGCTCTAAAACGTTAAGAAAAAACGTCCGTTTCTCGCTAACCGAAATGGTCAAAAAATAGAGGCTTGTTTTGTGATAATTAGCAAACTTAGAGAAATGCAACTACCTTTTTTCAAAGGTACTTGTCTTTTATTTACTGCATACAACGTTTCGTCCAAATCGGAGCAACTTTTTCCAACTTTTGAACGAAGAGAGATATTGAGCAACAGACACCACTCCGACATTACGTTTTTCATTCTGATTCTCTGTACCAAATTTAAGCGAAATCGAAGACGAAAAAATTTTAATGCAAAAATTTTTGAAGTCTATACCCTTTCGATTTTTCTCGAAAAATTCATGGTCTCCGATTGAGCTGAAAATCGGACAGTGGACAGTATGCACTCTAAAACGTTAAGAAAAAACGTCCGTTTCTCGCTAACCGAAATGGTCAAAAAATAGAGGCTTGTTTTGTGATAATTAGCAAACTTAGAGAAATGCAACTACCTTTTTTCAAAGGTACTTGTCTTTTATTTACTGCATACAACGTTTCGTCCAAATCGGAGCAACTTTTTCCAACTTTTGAACGAAGAGAGATATTGAGCAACAGACACCACTCCGACATTACGTTTTTCATTCTGATTCTCTGTACCAAATTTAAGCGAAATCGAAGACGAAAAAATTTTAATGCAAAAATTTTTGAAGTCTATACCCTTTCGATTTTTCTCGAAAAATTCATGGTCTCCGATTGAGCTGAAAATCGGACAGTGGACAGTATGCGCTCTAAAACGTTAAGAAAAAACGTCCGTTTCTCGCTAACCGAAATGGTCAAAAAATAGAGGCTTGTTTTGTGATAATTAGCAAACTTAGAGAAATGCAACTACCTTTTTTCAAACGTACTTGTCTTTTATTTATTGCATACAACGTTTCGTCCAAATCGGAGCAACTTTTTCCAACTTTTGAACGAAGAGAGATATTGAGCAACAGACACCACTCCGACATTACGTTTTTCATTCTGATTCTCTGTACCAAATTTAAGCGAAATCGAAGACGAAAAAATTTTAATGCAAAAATTTTTGAAGTCTATACCCTTTCGATTTTTCTCGAAAAATTCATGGTCTCCGATTGAGCTGAAAATCGGACAGTGGACAGTATGCGCTCTAAAACGTTAAGAAAAAACGTCCGTTTCTCGCTAACCGAAATGGTCAAAAAATAGAGGCTTGTTTTGTGATAATTAGCAAACTTAGAGAAATGCAACTACCTTTTTTCAAAGGTACTTGTCTTTTATTTACTGCATACAACGTTTCGTCCAAATCGGAGCAACTTTTTCCAACTTTTGAACGAAGAGAGATATTGAGCAACAGACACCACTCCGACATTACGTTTTTCATTCTGATTCTCTGTACCAAATTTAAGCGAAATCGAAGACGAAAAAATTTTAATGCAAAAATTTTTGAAGTCTATACCCTTTCGATTTTTCTCGAAAAATTCATGGTCTCCGATTGAGCTGAAAATCGGACAGTGGACAGTATGCGCTCTAAAACGTTAAGAAAAAACGTCCGTTTCTCGCTAACCGAAATGGTCAAAAAATAGAGGCTTGTTTTGTGATAATTAGCAAACTTAGAGAAATGCAACTACCTTTTTTCAAAGGTACTTGTCTTTTATTTACTGCATACAACGTTTCGTCCAAATCGGAGCAACTTTTTCCAACTTTTGAACGAAGAGAGATATTGAGCAACAGACACCACTCCGACATTACGTTTTTCATTCTGATTCTCTGTACCAAATTTAAGCGAAATCGAAGACGAAAAAATTTTAATGCAAAAATTTTTGAAGTCTATACCCTTTCGATTTTTCTCGAAAAATTCATGGTCTCCGATTGAGCTGAAAATCGGACAGTGGACAGTATGCGCTCTAAAACGTTAAGAAAAAACGTCCGTTTCTCGCTAACCGAAATGGTCAAAAAATAGAGGCTTGTTTTGTGATAATTAGCAAACTTAGAGAAATGCAACTACCTTTTTTCAAAGGTACTTGTCTTTTATTTACTGCATACAACGTTTCGTCCAAATCGGAGCAACTTTTTCCAACTTTTGAACGAAGAGAGATATTGAGCAACAGACACCACTCCGACATTACGTTTTTCATTCTGATTCTCTGTACCAAATTTAAGCGAAATCGAAGACGAAAAAATTTTAATGCAAAAATTTTTGAAGTCTATACCCTTTCGATTTTTCTCGAAAAATTCATGGTCTCCGATTGAGCTGAAAATCGGACAGTGGACAGTATGCGCTCTAAAATGTTAAGAAAAAACGTCCGTTTCTCGCTAACCGAAATGGTCAAAAAATAGAGGCTTGTTTTGTGATAATTAGCAAACTTAGAGAAATGCAACTACCTTTTTTCAAAGGTACTTGTCTTTTATTTACTGCATACAACGTTTCGTCCAAATCGGAGCAACTTTTTCCAACTTTTGAACGAAGAGAGATATTGAGCAACAGACACCACTCCGACATTACGTTTTTCATTCTGATTCTCTGTACCAAATTTAAGCGAAATCGAAGACGAAAAAATTTTAATGCAAAAATTTTTGAAGTCTATACCCTTTCGATTTTTCTCGAAAAATTCATGGTCTCCGATTGAGCTGAAAATCGGACAGTGGACAGTATGCGCTCTAAAACGTTAAGAAAAAACGTCCGTTTCTCGCTAACCGAAATGGTCAAAAAATAGAGGCTTGTTTTGTGATAATTAGCAAACTTAGAGAAATGCAACTACCTTTTTT